ACGAATGTGGTTTTGTGCCTACCCATGCAGTACAAGCTTCTATCCCCAATGATGGCAAATAGATGCTGATGGCATGAATAATGAAGTCAGAGAGATATCCAAAAAAAGGAAAGGTGTGATTTAACAATGGACAGGGATCATGTAAAAGCTCATAACATTTACAGCGTCTGAACCTCAAAACAGCAAGTAAAATCCTTAAACAGCAGTTCAGCAAATTATGTAATGGCAACAGCCAGTAACATGATGGAACTTCCTTTCAGCATGTCCCTGCTCGTAACAGCTTTCAACGCCTGTTAGCAACTACAGCCCTTGGCACCGCTTAACAACTTAAGTGAATTGAACAATTGCTAACAATTACCTTCCCTAAACCCTAACAGCCGTCAAAAATTCTTTCTCAGCATCTGGGTGACCCAACCAGAATGAAACATCCTGTCAACAATATCCTGTTGTGGCAGAAAGCGCTCTGTTACAGGTCCTTACAGCTGCTAACAGTCCCTAGAATCAGACAACTGTTAACTTAAAAAAACCTAACAGCCGTCAAAAATTCTTTCTCAGCATCTGGGTGACCCAACCAGAATGTAACATCCTGTCAACAATATCCTGTTGTGGCAGAAAGCGCTCTGTTACAGGTCCTTACAGCTGCTAACAGTCCCTAGAATCAGACAACTGTTAACAGTGTGGGCTCCAGGTACATGTCAGTCACAGGGCCTAACAGGACCAAACAGCCTCTAACCCAGTGTCTAACTGGCTGTTATGCCACGTTGACAACTATCGTCAGCAGCTGATAATGAGCCCGGCTGACAGCCCCGCCTAAGAAGTTAGCCGCTGTTAGACCCCCTATGAGTTGGTAGGGCAATGCACACTCTCTCGATAATGGACTCAAACGGGATACACCCATAAGCTGCTGCTGGTTTTCCAGTCACCCTGGAAGTGGAGGTTGTGTGGACAATCAATGGTTAGTGTTAGTGCAAGAGAGGGAGGTATACAACTGAAATTACGACTGTGTGTAAACTACTTTTATTACCTCTGCCATCGCAGCGGACGGAGATTCAGTTCACGGTTCCATTCATCTTCTGGAGCATCAAACCACTTAACATACACCACATCTGCTACCTTGTCTTTGTAGAGCACGCTGAGCAGTAGCTGCACCTGCACACAAGGGCCATGCACATATGAGCAAACTCCAGAGAACTGAAGTACATACACACAACGAATGGAAACCAAACCTCCATTTGCCTACCCGTCCGTACCACACACCATAGCCCCCTGGGGTGTCGTTGTTCAGGATTGAAATGTCGCACACTGGGCATGCCTGGGTCTTGAAAAGGGACTTAGCCAGGCCGCCACCACGGATGTAAGTGACGGTGTGAAGTGGGGCGTAGTAAAGACATCCCATACACCTGATGACAACCTACAAGTGTGAAGTTCACATGCATAGCATAGTCAACAACTAGCTAAATTATCACTGCTAAACCTGCTAGTACTGTATCATTAACCTATGTAACCAGCGAGCCTACCTTGGCATGATCCATATCCTGTGCAGACACCCCCCAGGCAGCCACCAGCTGCTCTGTAAGGCACTGCTGCAGGTACTTTGCACCCTCCATGCCCCAGGCTGCTTCATCTGTTTGCAAAAAAATGCAAGACATGCATATAGTGTGATGCCATTGGGTCAACATTTTGGGAAAATACAAGCTTGCATACACGGACCTTGCAGATTCTTAACCTTTTCCATGGCCTGTATCCAAGGAAGGCTGAGACCTGACCGGCCGATGGCATGTTTCTTGTCCCTGAGTACCTGTGCTCTCTGGTACACAGGTACGTTGATACGTGCAACGTGGGTTAGGCGTGTAGCGGCATATAAAATCTTAGATGGTTACAGCAACATCTGCAGCACATACATAGCTTCAAGCACACATACCAGGCGTGAAGCTTAAAGGCTAGCTTGGATG